GCTTCAAGAGGCGGGTGCAAGGCCCGAGGCAAAGAAGAACTGCTGGGAGCCATTGTTTCTTGACATTGATGCAACAACCAAAGCAGGGCTCGACAATGCAGCTCTGGAAGAAGCGTGGCGTGATTCTTGTAGATGCAGAACCCAAATTTTCCCTGAAGGCTGCGCCTGGAGCTGACGCAGCAGAGCTACGGGCGGCCTTAAGACATGGGCATGCAGAAAGATTTGCAGCTGAAGATCTCGAAACAACAGCCACAGACAAGTTGGCAGAGCTGGAGGAGGCCGAAGCACGAAAATAAAAAGAAGAAAGGAACGGCACAAACAAGGAGAAAGGCGGGTCATGCTGGAGCAAGTAAGGAAGGAGCATGCTGCGAGTTTGCTTCAACAGGCCTGCAAGCTATGTGGTGCATGAAAGGCGGCAAGCGTGCATCGGAGTCGTGGCTGGCATTTAAGCCTAAGCAACGGGTCTGCAGGGGTGCCCGGCAGGCGCTGGTTTTTGGCATGGTTGGATCGCGGGTGGTCCTTTGCAAGCCGAAGCGCAAGAGGGCTACACAAGCCGAAACAGCATGGATCATTGGCAGCTATCGCGCTGGTGAGTGGTGGTTAGCCAAGGCACGGAGACTCGGATTTAGCTCCCGACAGATTTTCCCAAGCTCTCCAATCTTGAGAAGGACATGGACCCTGCAGCAGGGGGTTGTCACTGGAGGGCTACTGCAGGGGACAGGGTTAGATTGCAGCAGCTCCAGTCGGCATGGAATGACGGCATGGATGTACCGAGGACTGGAGGGAGACAAACATGTATCTAGGCTTAGTTCGAGGATGGTTGCCGGCGATTGAAGCTTGAAAAGTGACCTGAACGTACTCACTGTTGCTTCGAGCTCATCGTCTTGGTGCCATGGAGTACCCCTACACATGCCTTTTGATGATGAGAGCAGCCTCAGGGCTTGGCGTTCGTGCCGTCAGATAACCCTGATGTGTGACGAGATGTCCCTCGCTCACAGGACGGTCAGGGGACCTGGTTCTTAGAACGTGATGACTTTTGGTGTGACATGAAGGCTTCCCTAGAGAACTGGACTCTTGAGGCTTGGCAGCAAGCCTGAAGGTTTATCCCATGTCGATGAGGCAGGTAAGGCGGTCAGATGTTTTGTATCATGCATTTCGGCCGCCACATGCCGGAGCAAACCCCGTCGCCCCAGGAGGTGGATGACGAACTTGAGGTTGCAAATATGGAGCCGGCTCGACCGGGAGGAACTTGACAGACAGAATCAGGCCATAGCCGAGGAGGAGCGACTCCATGATGAACAGGACGAAGCCCGGGCTGAACAGCTCTGGCAGGATCACGTCACGAAGGGGCGGAGTTCAGAGATTGCGAAGCTTGGGCCCTATTCAACCCGCCCACTGACCGACCCTGAAAACTCCAGGCCCGAAGAGCATGGTGATGCCACTTCCATTGCGGCTTGTTCTTTGCCGTTGGCCTGTGGTCGGGGAGTACGATTTCAGATCGACCTTGTGGAGATGGAGGGTGGTCCGGTTCAGGAGCCACGCCAGTCAAGGTAATCTTCGGTCCTGGAACAGGATAAGTGCCGGGCAAGATTTTACCAACGGTGGCTCGAAGGGGAGCTTACGGACAGTGCGGTTATTGCAATTGGTCTCCTCGGCAAGAGATGTTTGCGGTCTGATTGGTGCAGTAAGAGTTTGCGTCTGAGGCGAAACCGGATAAGGCTGCCCGTGCCTCTCAGTGCCCCGCCTTAGGCTCTGTGTTTTCATGGCCGCGTCGCAAGTGAAAGATGCCGGGAATGTGGGCCGTGAAGTGGGGTGGGTTGCCGGATGTTTCAGGTTGTCGTGTGAGCTGGGGATTATGTGTTAGTGTGGCCGAAACAGGTCATGCCTGCCGTGAGCAAACGAAAAGTATCTGCAGGTCGAAAAAAAGCGCTCAAAAAATACATATTCAACTGGCAAAGGTCTCATTCGTCGATGTGGAAGCTGCTGACCAAGGCCGGGACATGCTCTCCAAAACTCTTTGTTTAGGGGGCGTTTAAGGTTTAGGGTAACTTAGGTAACTTTAGGTATCTGCTCAGAGAACTGTTAATTTATTTTGTTGTTGAATGGTTTTTGGTACTTAAAGCCCGTGCATAGTGCCCAACATCCGTGTAGCTAGGATTTGGGAGGGTGTTATACGGTTTCTATGAGGGCTGGAAGGTGTAGGGTTTTAGAGTTCAGGGAAAAGGGCGTAGGACTGAGGCAAGTCCCGCAAAATCCGAAACCTGCAACGCTGGTTTCTTAGAATTGCTTGGCCATGGGGTTTCCTATAATCATACTCTCTCCATCATATATATGTATATGTAGGCATAGGTAAAAATATACACAGGACCTTACGTGGTGTCTCGATTTGGTCCGCTGCTGTCTGAAATCCCCATCTGCTCCAGATTCAGCTGCCAGGTCTTCTCGGATGCTCTGCGGTGGTTGCCTCAGTCGATGCAGATTCAAACTCTTCAAGCATATGCTTAGGCCTTGAAGTGTTTATAGTCATGTAAAGTGGACCCCCAAAAGTTGGAACATGGATTTAAGATGATTTGTGCTGGGATTCTTTGTTCTTAACCTTAAGGGCATCGCTGTAATGCTGTTCGAACATTTTTGGCTTCCACTCTATACAAAGGCTTTTAAAGCCTAAGTATATACCCCCAACGGGTCTTATGTACCGATATAGTAGAATGTAGGGTTTCCATATTGAGAATTACTATTATGACTTAGGGAGCATCCCCCATAACAGTACATAGGACCCTTTTGGACTATATAGACACATGGAGCCTTAGGGGATGAAGACTTCGGTGACGGAAGTTCCGGAGGAATTAGAACGATAAGTCGCTAAGCCTTTAGGGTTTACTTTAATCGACCAAAACCTACCTTTTTTTGGTAGGTCTTACTATAAACCCGAAAAGGGCATTTATGGAGACCCTACAAAAACTATCGGTTCTGGTGGGTTAGGGTAGGGTTTGGGGCGTAGAAGCCTTCAAAACCTTCATTCCCCGAACCCTGATCTCCTCCAGTCGGTACCCCGAGCCCTACAGCCTTGAACCCTAAAGCTTACAGTAGAAGCCAGAAAGTTGGAGCATGGCTTTCGGAGGATTAGTGCTAGGATCCCTTATACGTTGCCTTGAAGGCATGAGGATAAGAATGTTTCAGTTTTCTGGCTTCTACTGTATCCCTAAGGGTCCATGTGCCCAAACAGTACATATTTTTTGGCCCCAATGTACCTACATAGGGAGTATTTTGAAGGCCACAGTATATACTATTTGGGTACATGGACCCTTAAGGTATGATCCCCAAAACCCTGACTTTAAAGTCCCTACTGCTGCTAGTAACCCGAAGCCCTAAGCCCTACTAAACCGCCCATGGCCTGCACCTTCAACTCTAAACCCTGAGCCCTATAATCCCGAAACCCTTGACCTTAAAGTTTACAATGCTTCCATGAAACCTAAGCCCTAAGCCCTACAATCCCTAAACCCTTGAGTTTTCACGCCCCTATAGGGACTTTAAAGTCAAGGGCTTATGTTTGCATGAGCCCGGAGCCCTAAGCGCTCAACCGTCCATGCCTGGAGGATCATGGGACTTAGTAAGTAAGATTAGAAGTACCTTAATTGGGGTTATAAGTAGCTATAAGTAAAGTTAACCTAATTATCACCCTAGTTACTAAGTCCCATGACCCTGTAAGTACCCCTAAACCCCCCTTATAGAAACCTTGCAGATCCCTTTTTAAGGAGCCTTTTAAGGAACCCTAGTTACTAAGTCTCATGATCCTTTAAGTGGCCGTAGATCGAAGCCCGAGGCCGTGGCTCTCTGGCAAAGCTCCCTGGCCGTAGCCTGAGACGCTCCAGGAAGTGTAGGGTTCGGGGTTGAGGGTTTAGGATTCTAGGGTTCTAGGGTTGAGGGTTTAGGGTTCTAGGGTTCAGGGTTAGGGGCTGAGGGTTCAGGGTTAATTAGGCTGCAGGTCTAGAAATTCCATGACACCAGGGTGCTTCATGCAAGGCTTTAGGGTTGGGGGGCTTTACTGGATACAAGGCTATTCTACATGCTTGTGGGGTCCAGGTACTTATGATGCAGGGGCCTTTTCATTCTTGAACTACGGTTCCATGCAGGATTCTGGGAGAAGTACTTCCTAGGCACTAAAAAAGCATGTAGAATGACAGCCTTTATCAGGTGTTGGGCTATTATTTCACCACCTGTTGGGGGTTTCGGAAAGTTTTTCCAGACATGCTGTATTTTGGAGAAGCCCAGCCTTGTGCACTCATATGTACCGCACTGCGGAAATGCAGGCTTTTACCCACAAGAAAACTCTCTTCTCAAAGTTGGTAGCATGATCGCAGGCGCAACAGCTTGCAGAGTTGTTTGCTCTCAAGACAGAGTGAGACTGAAAGATCTCACAGCTTTGTCGTGTTTCAGTTGGTGAGAAAAGAGGGTTATAATTAGGCCCGAAACTGTTAGCACGATTCCACCCCCGAAGTGATTACTCCCAACCCTCGAAGGCTACCCCCTCGTCCGCTTCGAGGGCTTTACCCTCGAACCCGAACCCGAACGTTAAACGTAACTTATCACAGTGGAGGTTCGAATCCCAGGATATATTTACTGCAAACTAGGCTGGTGCTCAACATAACCCCAAACCTGAGCCCCGAACCATAGGCAGAAAACTTTTTGTGGTATGAGTCCGTCAGGAAACGAACTCTTCTGCCAGAAAGACGTACACAGCTCCCACTGCCGGTAGCCGGAATCCCCACAACCCCAAACTCCTAAACCCTAAACCCGTTTAGCTCCCCTGAAAGGAACCCCTTCAAGGTCCTTTCAAAGGAACCCTAAACCTAAAAACCTCTTAGGTCCCTTCGAAGGACCCTCATAGGTCCTTAAGTAGTACCCCTAAACCCTGAAGACCCTAAACGGAGAAAGGGTCAGTGCACTTAAAAAAAAAGACCCTAAACTTAGTGCGCCG